TCTTTCCTAACTTGATTATTTTACTTGCTAACACAAGACCGTAACATTTTAGACATTCAAGAGAAATTAAGGGAGGGGGGAGGTGGAACAAAGCTTTTAAAATCTTTGATTACCTCAGAAAACATATTTGCTTACTTTACCAGGAAGTTGGTTTTTTGTTTTGTTTTCTGGCAATGCCAAGAGGGGATTAATGAGTAGCTGCTGGGTTTGCCAGCTTTCCTTTGATTTCAGTTTATATAATTAAGCAGTTCCCAGAATGACTTGAGGTTCTACCTCTGCAACAAAACATGCTTCTCAAGTGTGTTAGAGTTGGAGGTCAGCGACAATCCAATTTACTAAATAGAGGGAGGGAAAGTGAAAAGCTTATCTTGCTCTAAAACTCCCTAATATGAAAAAGGGATTGGTTACACTTTGGTGTGATGGAGCTATGTTGAGAAGAAAGCAGGTGAAAACTAAATTTCAAACCGGGCTAAAGCCAGAGTAGCTCAAAGTGATATTAACAAGAGACATGGGAAAACAACTCTGGGTTACTTTTGAATTCCTAGCAATGGGAGCCTTGACCATGGTGATCATTCGCGAACGCAGGCACTCAATGCAGACACACTAGGAGCCCACCACACGCCAGGCTTGGTCCTAGCCTCTAGAGATACAGTAAGGAACTCAAGCAACAAAACTGCCTGCTTTCCTAATGCTAAATGGAAGGAACAGATGTTTACTAAGTGCAGTCTTGAGCTCATATTGGTTGGAGTTATTGGGAAGAGGAAGATGTGTACCTCAAAAGGCTGTCTCACTGGGAAGGAAAGACATCTCTCCACTGACCAAGAGAATTGTTCAAGGCTGAAACGATTCAAGTGGTCACCTCTCTCTAGATACTGTAAGGCAGGAGGCGCTCTGCAGTAGGCTGATTCTTTTTATTTTATTTTATTTTATTTTTGAGGCACTGAGGCTTGATCTCAGGGCCTTCACTTTGAGCCACTCCACCAGCCCAATTTTTTGTGATACGGATTTTCAAGATAGGGTCTCGCAAACTATTTGCCCAGGCTGGCTTTGAACTGCAATCCTCCTGATCCTCCTCCCCACCCCCGCACCGGCCCCAGGTACCTAGGATTTACAGGTGTGAGCCACTGGTACCCAGCCTGATTAATTTTTTAACTTAGCATAGTAAGAACTTGCAGTTCTTCGGTCCATACTGTGCTTATTTTAAAATGAAGTTATAGCAGCCTCCCTTTGGGGGTCTCTAATTCCTTTAAAAAGCAGACCAGAAGCCAGGCATGATGTTGCATGCTGCTGGTCCCAGCTACTCATAGACAGAAGTAGGAGGATTACTTTATGAGGCTAGCCTTGGCAAAATTAGTGTGAGACCCTATCTGAAAAACAAACTAAAATTGCAAACGGACATTGTATTTGGGCATTGCTCAAATGGTAGACCAATTGCCTAGTAAGCACAAGACCTTATTGTAGGTAGAATGCTACTACAACAAGCAGAGTAGCATGCAATAGGGCATTTGACCTTGTCAGAGAAATCAAAGACAGCTTTCTTGAAGAGAAGATGGCTGCACCAAAATCTGGAGGATAAGGGATTCCCTGTAGGAGAGAGAGGAAAATATCCCATGCAGCAAGAACATGAGTCAAGGTCCTGGGGCAGAGGGAACAGGGACAATTGCAAGGCAAGTGACTCAGCAGATCACTTATTTATATTTTTTTTATTAAGCTTATTTATTTATGTTACTCATATTCTATGAGTAACAACAAGCCCTTTAAAAAAATTAACCAATAGAATGAGAAAAGGAAAGGGGATGAGTTGACAATCAGATTTCTCTTTCAGCAGGGTCCCTTTGCCTATAGTGTGCTCAGCATTTAGAGGGGGCCTAGAATAAGTGTGGGGTGCATTACTAACAAGGCAATGCAAGAATCTAGGTAAGAGATAATAGTTGCTTGGACCAGAGTGGTGGTCATGACCACAGTGGAGATGGGCAGAAGTGAACAAGTATGAGAGGTGCAAAGGTGCAACAGGCAAAAGCAACAGGGCTTGGTGATGGATGTCAGGGATGAGGGACAAGAAGGTTGAAGGATGACTTCCAGTTGTTGATTTGTTCAACTGGCTGAAAGTGAAGACCTCCTGTGAGCCCTGGGCAAGGATTAGTTTTCAGGGGAAGATGATGGAGTCTGTTTGGACATGTTGCACTTGATTGTCTTTTGATGCACCTGGAGGGTGGTCAGAGGCACAGTTAGATGAGTGGATCTGGATCCTGGAGGAGAGGTCCAGGATAGAGGTCAAAGTGCATAAGTCATCCGTGTGGAGGGACTTGGAAACGGGGTGTGGATGAGATCATTTGGTGGGGAAGGCCTAGGACCAAGCCTTATGAGAGTCTAGCACTTCATGGTGGGGAGTGGGGAGAAGCCTATAGTAGAGTCAGAAAACTGAGTACAGAGAGATGAAGTCACTTGCTTGAGGTCACACAACTAGTGAATGAGGAAGTCAGGTAGGATCTCTTTTCTCACACCATGGCCCCTATCCTTAAATGCTACATGTCTAGTGTTGGGAGAGTAAAAAGCAGTTGGGGAGAAGAGTAAGGAGGGGAGAGGTTTAATTCTTTCAAATAAAGCCAAGGAACTCCTCCATTGTTGCTAAGCCCAAGTTTAGGGTCAGTGACTATGGAGTGGGCATTGCAGTTGCTATTTCTGACAGAGCGGTTCAGCTGGTAAGGCAGTGTTACATGGGTGATGTAGCTGTTGCTTGCCACGTGAAAGCCTGGCCCCAAGTGCTCTAGGGCCAAGGTTCTAAAAGTGTGATTCACAGACCAGCAGCATCAACATCACCTGGGAACTCATTACAGATGCAGATTTTTATGCTCAATCCCAGATCTCCTGGATCAGAACACTCTGGGCAAGGGGTCTAGGGGTCCATGTTCTAATAAGCCTCTGTTTGCTTATGATACGTAAGCTTGAGAACTCTTATTCTTAGGGGAGTATGTGAAAAGAACACAAGGAGTTAATGTATAATCCTTCAGTTGCACCAATGTAAAATACCTTGACAGAAAGCAGATGAATGAACCTGTGCATCTCAACCCTGGCTGCACAGTGGGGTTACTGGGGAGCTTTAACAACGACTAGGGCCTGTATCCTACCCTCAGAGATGCTCATTCCCTTGGGCTGGAGTTGGCCTGAGCTTCAGATTTTGAAATGAGGATATGAATGGGGAAGGCATGACTGGCTGGTCAGCAAAGCAACCTTGAACTTTGGAGTCCAAGATTGTACCCTGGGGAGAAAGCAAGGCAGGCCTTAAAGGGAAAGCATAAGGCAAATGGAAGAGAAATTCCACCTTCGGCCCTTGAATACCAGTAAAGCTTGAAGAATTCCTGGATGGGGAGGGGGAGAAGGCAGTTAGGATCAGTAACAGTCATTAACTGCAGGCTTATTGTAAAAGAGATGCCAATACTGACATTAATATGCTTCATGAATAAAGAAGTGTCAGTGGTAGGTTTTACTGGTCTTAATGGCAAATGATCTCCTCTGGGAGGCTTCACTTGGACAATATTTATGTTAAGAATGCACTCTACCTCTCCAGACTCTCAAATCTTTATTACCCTTCCTCTCCAGCTGATCTGGAGAGGTCACTTTCCCGGCCTCTGAGCATGCTCACTCTTTCCACATCCTGGTATAGTTCTTGCCTCACCTCCACCTTCTCTTTCTCTCAAAGCCTGGCTCCATCTAGAATCCTTCATGGCCCCTTAGTGCAGAGACTGGCCTTTTTGCCAGTGTTTTTACTGAACTGTATTCCTATTTTGTTTTTATTATTCTTTCCTTGCCATCTCCACCCCTGGCCTGTAAGCCCCCAGGGCAGCAATGACTTACACAGCTGATCCTTCCTCACCAGCTGCCCAGTATCCCATATATGCATATTCTAGGTGCTTGGAAAATAATCATCAAGAACCGTACAAAGCAGCATTTTAGTCCACTCCCTCCTCAAGTTAGCATAGATTCAGATAAAGAGGTGCTACCCCTAATGAGGTGTGACTGTGGCATGGCCCTCTTATGGGTACCTTGAGAGAAAATCCCTGGAAAACCTGGAACGGACATCCTCCAGAGCAAAAAGCAGCCCTCACGGGGAATGGGGTCTCGCAGTCGTTATCCCATAATTCTAACTGTAACTGTAAAATTATTATAATTTATTTCTCATATTATGCCAGGTTTCCTAGGACTGCCTTAACATAATGTCACAGACTTCATGGTTTCAAACAATAGACTTCATTCTCTCGTGGTTCCAGATGCCAGAGGTTGGACATTAGTCCAAATCAGAATGTCACTGCAATAGGCCATTCTCCCTCCAGAAGCTCTGTTCCTTGCTTCTTCTGGGGCTTCCTGCATACTTTGGCTTGTGGCTACACATCTCCATTCTCTGCTCCCACGGTGACAGTGCCTTCTCCTCCCTTCTTAAATCTACCTCTGCCTCCCTCTTGTAAAGATGCTTGTGATTGCATTTACGGCCCACACTGGTGATCCAGCAGAATCTCAGCTTCTCAAGATCTCCATCTTAATCCCATCTGAAAAATCCTCTTTTGCCCTCTAAGGGAACATGCACATATCCAAGTGTGTGTGTAATTTCTTTCAGAGGACAATGATTATTCAATCTACCACACATGCAAAGATACCTAGCACCTCCAAAAGGAGAGAGACTTGTGCAGTGGCAGGCCTTAAGTGATGACCAAAATCAAAGACCTGGTTATCTTTTCTGTCAATTACAGGCTTCTTCCACTACAGTAAGCTGACTTCCACAAAAGCAAGACAGAGACTTTTAAATGACACTTGATACCCCAAAGTGTGTGCTTTGTCGCCTTTCTAGATTGTGTGCTGCCAGCATTCACCCACCTTTGGGCCTTCGTCCATCCTGAGTCCTGGTTCAAATTGCAATTTGTCCACCAATGACAGGCCACAAGATGCTGGCCTGTGGAGGCAGCTGCAATGATGTGACCTAAGAGGCATTTTCTTCTCTCTTTCAGGACCGCCTCTTTTTCGTCATGGAATATGTAAATGGTGGGGACCTCATGTTCCAGATTCAGCGCTCCCGAAAATTTGACGAGCCTCGTTCACGGTTCTATGCTGCAGAGGTCACATCTGCCCTCATGTTCCTCCACCAACATGGAGTGATCTACAGGTAGCCTCTTCTCTCCTATTCTCTTTCCTGAAAGCAAAAACATAAAGACTTCCTCAGAGCTTGAACTGACTTTGGCTCTTGCCCAACTGGTCTCTCGGCAACCAGCTTTAGCTTAGTTGTTTGTTTCAATTTGCTTACAGAGGACTTTTTGGGGTCTGTTTATCACTGTGAATGTTGATATTTGAATGGCCCCAGGAGATTTGACCAACTGTTTGTGCCAGTTTTGATTTAAAGCTCCAGCACAACATTTCAAGGCTTGTCACTGAGCAACCTTGGGGCAACCTTCATTTGGCCCTCTCCCCCACTCTCTCCCTTGAACATCAGGGCATTCTCTTGACTTCTTCCTTCTGTGCCCTGAAGTTCCTCCCCTTCACCATCTCTTGCCACTTCCTGAGTTTGTTTGGCTTAGTTGTCTCCAGCCCATAGAATCAGGGGAGGAGAAGTTGCTTGGAGGTCTTGGGGGTTATGGTCTGGGGAGGAGGCTGGGGAGTGAGAACACTTCCAACAGGAAGTGACTTTTTTCAGATTGTCTAGTCCTGTATTCTTCCCAGTCCCCTCCAAGAAACACACACACACACACACTCATGCACACATACACTCATACACACACAGACACACACACAGACACAGACACACACACAGACACACACACACACACACACACACACACACACACACGCTAATTTTCCAGTAAGAGAGCAGGACTATTTACGCAGGCTCTTGTGTGAGGTCAGGAATTCTTGGAGGAGTAAATATTTATAATTAGCAACAAGGACACCAAAGTTCTTAAGGTTTTTTTCAGTGACTGTCAATTTCTTTACTTGGTCTCTGCCTTTTTTTTTTTTTTTTAATTTGGGTAAAAGGGCAGCCAGCTTGATTTTTAACCCAGAACCTAGTCACTCACCTAAACTTTTCTGACTTGCCTCTGTTCTTGGAAACAATGGCTTGACTAGATGGGCTTTGAAGGGTTCTGTTCAACCCCCCTCAACTTCATTTTCTTCTGCCACTCTTAGCTACCTAAAGCAAGGGGGAAAAGTCAGGGGTTCACTAAGGCTCATGTGACAAAACCTATAATTTTTCACCTACTGTGCTGTCCCCTACCCCACACAAGTCTAAGCCTGTGCTTCCTACTGCTTTGTAACTCTTTACTATGCCTTAGAGCCTTAAAACACCCCCACTGTCATCTCCTAGCTTCTGTGGATCAGGAGTGCAGTGGAGGTGACAGCCAGGCTGCCTTCCCATATGAAGTTTGGACTCCTCTTCAAAGCTGTTGTGCTGGTGGCAGAATTCTGGTCCTTACAGCCTTAGAACTCATGAGGCTTGCTCAAGACCAGCAGGAGAGAAGGCCTTTGCTTCTTTTTCTCTAACCTTAGAGAGGACCTACCCTTCTTTTCAAGGGCTCTAATCAGTGCCACTAAGATAGTGTCCCTTTTAAGTAACTTAAAGTCAAGTGATTCAGAGCCTTAATTGTATCAGCAAGATCTCTGTGCCCCCACTGGGCATGGAAGTACATGCCTATAATCCCAGCTACTCAGGAGGCTGAGGTGAGAGTATCATATGCGCCCATGGGACCAAGACTATCCTGGCTACATAGTGAAACCCTGTCCCAAGAAACAAAATCTGTGTCTTTGCCCTATCACATAACATAATCTTAGTAGTGACATCTCGTGGCCTTTGCTATTTTCTCTTAGTCAGAGGTGAATCACAGATTCTGCCTTCCCAAGGGTGGGGGCTGGTATCTGGGATCAGACCAGGTTGTGGCTCATTGGGAGCCACCTGTAGGCCAATACACCTCTCTCTCCTCACTTCCCACAGTACCTTGTTTTGAACCCACTGCAGTTCATAGCTGTCCTCACACTCTCTGGCCAGTGTTCAGCTTTTCTGTGCTTATGCACTTCTGTGCACCTCCTGTGTCCAGTCAGCAGCCTTTGACCCCCCCAGCCCCATCAGCTATAGTGAGCCTCTCCAGCCTTCACACTGTCATTGGTGAACAAATTGCAATTCAAAACTTGCTCCGTATTACAAAGCAGTGGCTGGTCAGGTGCTAATGACAAGAAGAAACATTGTCACCCCTTCATGTCTTCCCCACATCAGTCTGTTAGAGTGGGTGCAGTCATTCACATTTTACTTGCAGGACACTGAGACATCTGTAATAACAGGGCAAAGGGCATATTTGGTAAATAACAAATACAGGAAATGTAATGACTGACCAACTCCTGCAGTATACCATGACAATTGATACCTTGCCTTTCCAAGTCCAGCTCCAAACTCCTTAGTCTGACATTCTGGGTACTCCCAAATTTAACCTTTCTTTTATATTCCTGCTTCCTCTCACCACACCTGTGACCATTTTTGCTCCATTGACTTTTATGAGCCATTTTCTCTCTCCATTTCTTTCTCCTTCCTAGCTCCCTGACCATTTCTCTTCCATATCTATCTCACCTGGGCTGGCTTTTTTCCTCACTGCCCCCGTTCTCTAAATGCTAGCTTGCCCCCAGGGCCTTTGCCCTTCTTTATTCTTACACTAAATATGCTCTCTGAGCAATTTTACCTATTCCATGACTTAAAATGATACCCATATCTATATACCCAGCCCCTAATTTTCTCTAGAACCCTAAACAAGAGCTCTCCATGTTGAAGCTTGACCTTCAAGATCTTCTGCCCACCTGCCATGGCTAGTTCATAGCATTTTCTAGCTGACTCGCTCATTGCCTCTTGGCTCAATTTCCACCCTCCAATCTGTCCTCCTCAATCTTCATTGCTTCCCAGTATTCTTTTAAGCAGAGACAGATTGCTACATGTCCCCTTCTTAGCATCCTTCGGCCCTTATGTTGTGGCTTTGGACTTCCTGTTGCCCTGGCCCTAGGGCTGCTGTACACCGCTCTGTGGTTTGGGTATAGCATAAAAGTGAAAAATACAGGCAGTGACTGGGGACAGCATCCAGTACCACTCTAGTTTTGTGGGCAGCTGCAGCCCCAAGAGGATGTCATTTTGTGTGTCTTAGTCTGTTTTGTGCTGTTATAATAGAATACCTGAGACTGGATAATTTATAATGTGCATAAATTTATTGGCTTATAGTTTGGAGGCTGACAAGTCCAAGATCAAGGTATTGGAAACTGATGAGTACATTTATGCTGCATCATGATACGATGGAAGGCATCATATGGCCCAGGGACAAAAAGAATGGTGGAAGGATGTGATATAGACATTAGTCTGGCCTTCCTGCTAGTGGAAGAGGGGTGTATATGTCTTAATCCCTGTACTCATCTTCATTGTCACTGGCACAGATGGGGATGCCCTGATGTAATAACTGAAGGTCTAATATTTAGTACTCCCTCTCTTTCATCACAGAGTCCATGGCTCTGGCAAGGATCCTAATATTTATGTCTCAGGGTCATCATCTGTAAAATGAGACTGATAGTTGTACCTATCTCTTGAAGCTGTAGGGATTTGGTGAGTTAATAAGTCTAAATGTCTTTGATTAGTGCCTCCCATGCAGTAAATCGTTGATAAATATTAAGCTAACTTTATTATACTTTGAATTTATTTTTATTAAGATATATTTTTTAAAATTGGATATCTTTTATTCAGCCCAGGCTCCAAAAAGGATTCTGAAGTCACATTAGAAGAATAAATTTCTTCTTACCCTTTTGCTTTCTTTCTGATAAAATTGAACTTTTAAAGTACAAATAATAGAGTCATAGGACAAATAAAAATTTAAACAGTAAAGAAAGGTATGAGGTCAGTTTCAGAGTCAAACAGTTTAACAGCTTCCAGAGAATCCTTTGAGAAATCTCAAGCAAGTATGAAACCTTTTTGTGACTAGTTTCCATTTGAGAAGTTCAGATAACACCTGCCTCCGCTCCTTTGCGCAGTAGTCGAGCGTGGTTGCTGGAAGGATATCTGCCTGTGGTAGAGGATGTGAAAGGAAGTGAAGAATGACAGCCATTTTATTTATGTAAAATGTCATGAGTGATTAGCATTTGATATTTCAAATACTAAAATTTGGTCTTTGTCTACCAGAGAAGGAAGTTGTAAGTTGTAAAGCTCTCTTGCCTCTTATGTTCTCCAAGACTTTTGATCCTTAATGAACCAACAACATCACTTCCAGAGTTAGTGTTCCCTAGATGCCTAAAATATTAGCTTTGCTCTCCACACCAGGCCTCCCTGGAAGACGAATACCAAGTTGTGGTATAAACCTTAGTCTGGCCTTGCTGCTAGTCGAAGGCTGATGCATGCACCTTGGTCCCTGGAATCATCTCCGGCCAATAGCACAATTGGGGATGGCCTGACTTGAAAGTCTCTAGTTAAACCTGCATTAATAACTGGAAGGTTTAATATTTGTAGAGCCTCATCTCCTTTCAATACTTTATCAGTTTGTCTAAAGTCAATATAAAGCAGGGGAGGAAGGAGTGATGGAGTGATCCATTGCCTTTGCCTTCCCAATCTAATAGGACCTAGCCCATAGAAAATCACTGGGAGAGTTGAGCATCATTTTCCCCACAGAGCCTTGTTCTCAGCTTTCAGTTTTCCTCACCCATTGTAGAATATAATATTTTGACATAAAACTCCTAAGAATCTAAGGGCTGAGTTTCTAAAGAGATGATATCAGCTACCATGGCAGGAATCACGAATGAATGCTAAATCAAGGGCCTCAGAGACTATATAACTCCTTGTTTTTATAGATATGAAACTTGGAAACCAAAATTGGGCAGTAACGTGCCCAAGTTTACACAGTGAGATAGTATAAAATTTAAATGTTATTTTAATAAAAGATATAAATATAGATAAAGAGTCAAATAGTTCTGCAAGGTGTTAGGGGAATACAGGGCCATTTTATATCCTCCCTTCTCCCACTTCCCTTCCAAAGAAGCAGCCACTTTTAACTCCTTTAGCTTTTAGAATGGACCTCTGTATTCCTAAGTGGCATTATTTGATCATTACTTTTTTTGTATTTAGGCATTATCTAGTGGCTTTCCATTATGGAAGATGAAGATTTAGCCACCTGCTGCCCACTACCCACCCCCACCACCCCGTCACTTATACACATGCTTCCCAACCCCATATCCTCTCAATATAATTTCCTGTAATTTTGGCTAAATGATTATACACTGTATACATTATTATGACTATAAAATGCCCTTTGGAACTGAGTAATGTAGTATGCTAGAATTGCTTTCCCTTACTATCCATTATTTTGGTTTATTTTCCGTGGAGTTAATAATTAACACTTTGTTTTCTATGTATTTGTTATTCATTCAACCACAGACTCTACAAATTGTCCTTATCATCCCTTAGGATAGTTAGATGTCTTTGGTGTTCTACCAATTTCATATTCTTGTATGAATTCTCCCAGAGCCTTCTACACAGCTCCAGTCTGAATCACTGCCCTCTACACCTGCTGCAGAGCTGCCTCCTGGGATCCCCTTTCTCTGTTACCTGACACAAAGTTGTTAAAACTCCTCTTTCCAACTATCTCATGTCTTCCTTTTTTTGATAGACTCCCCTGATTTGGGGATGCATCTGCTGTCATTTTCTGAGAAAAAATATGGGAAGTGAATTGTTGAGACCTTTTCTTTACATCTGGAACCATCTGTTTTACTTTTGAAGTTTTGGCTAGGCATAAAATTCTAGATTAAGAACCATTTTCTCTCAAAATTCAAAGATATTTTTCTACTATTTCCTAACTCCCAGTACTACTATTAAGAAGTCTAGTTGTTTTGATTTTGTATGAGTCTATTTCTTTTTTTCAGAAATGTGTTAAAACTTTCTGTCTCCATTATGCTGAAATTAACTAATCACTTGGAGTAGGTTTATTTTTATTCATTGTACTAAAACCTGGATTGATCTTTTCAATTTGGAAAATCAAGACCTTCAGCTCTAGAAAGTGTGTTTGTTCTTTAATGATTCCTTCTCCTGTGTTCTCTTTCTGAAATTACCAGTAATTTCAGAATTGGGGTTCATTGTAGATTCATCTGGCTGGCTGCTTATTTGAGGAAATTCTGTTGATATTTTTAAACCTTCCCTGATGGAGTGCTTAGTTTACTCTAAGATGACTCATCCAGACTCCTCCCTGAAGGGAGAAGTCCTGGAAACCAGCACCATAGGAACCAAGGGAACTGAGACGACTGGAGGACCAGCTTCTGGAAATCACATCTTTGTTTGGTTCTACTACCAGTACTGTACTCTGGCACCTACCCCCAAGTCTGTCCACCCTCTGTTTCTCTTCTCTAGAAAAGAACCCTCTGGATATAGGGAAGGGATGGTCCAGAGTAAACATGGGAATGTGATTTTATAACTGCTTTTCAACCCAAACTCTGATTTCTCTCTTCACATCACCCTCATCTTCAGTGGCAACTTACTGCTTATTCTTGAGCTTTGGAAAAAGGGGTGAAATACTGCAGTGTAGATGTATGTTTTCTTGACTTTCTTCACTGCTAGCTTAGGATCAGCTTTCTTGAGTCTATTACAGTAATCGCTATTTGCTTTCCAACTTCCAAAACTGTGTTGCTGTTGTTTTTTCACTTGTATATAATTTTGTGAAGGAGAGAAAAATTATTGACTTCTTTATCCAGAAGTCAATAATAATAATAATAACAATAACCATAGCAGTAACAACACCAACCCCATGAGGTAGCTATTGTTATTATTCACAGGATCTCTGATCTTCCCAAGCAGGAGACTTTAACCAGATCCCACCACCTTCACTACCATTGTTGAGTCACCTTGTCCCTATTGCTGTCAATCCCAGTTTCGCATGGGAAGCAAAGTTGTATTTTGGAGACAGAACTGGGTTTGGGGTCAGAGAATTGGGGTTGAATGCTGGGTAGGCATCATCTTTGTTGTGTCTTCTTGGGCAGAATAATCAGACTGTTTGAAATGTAGTTTCTTCACTATACCATGAGAATTTAACATAAACTTCATTAGACTGTTTTGAAAACTACATGAGCAAACATCTATAGAAGTTCTAAGTATAATCCTTAGTATTTTGTAGGCTCCATAAATATTGGTTAGAT